TCGCTCTCAAGTTGGGGCCCTATTAATGTGGGGCCCTATTAATGTGGGGCCCTATTAATGTGGGGCCCTATTAATGTGGGGCCCTATTAATGTGGGGCCCGGGGCAATTTCCCCCCCCCTGCCCCCCCTCTCGGCGGCCCTGGAATCATGTGCTCATGTGCAACCATCCGTATTTCGCAGATGCAATTTCTCGCGAAGAATTTCGCTGTCGTGTGATCAGGCCTTAGCTGAGACTGGAAACATAACAATTAATATGCACATCACAATAATCAACTGTTCCATCATTATTTGTGTTTCACTTTAACCCCAATAGAACTGCATGCAAATTAAGTATTTTTGTACTAGCATAATTTGTCTTTTGTTACAGTAGAACAAAGAAAGGTACACCTCAAGCTGGATTTCCACTAGTTGCAATTCAATTTCTTTTGAATTGTGAAGGGTCAAGTCTACGGTTTATTTGGATCCTCACAATTCGAAAGTAATCAAGCGAAATATTTCTCTGTAAGTGGGAATCCACCTCTATGGACTCCACCCTAACGGAATATATTTTCCACTTCCAAGCAGGTCGACCGCGTGCAGAAACTAATTGATGGTTGAACAGTTGAATATTTTGATATGGATATTCCAATTTTCCTGTCTCAGCCGTGCATGTTAAGTTATAGTTCAACTCCATGCAATGTGGATGCGCATGCAGTCGAATTCCGAATTGATCTATTTGTAGAATACTATGCCGTGGTGGTATGCTAGTTACGTCACAGTCGCCATGTTGGATGGCATTGACAAAGGATTTTGCTTGCTTGCAATCGGCAAATTTCATCCAACATGGCGAAAATCTCTTTGACCTTTGAATCCTATGGGAGTGGTTGCACATCACCTATACTGAATATTTTATGTGAGCACATAATTTCATAAAGAACTACATACTATATATTGTACATGATTATAAACATAGGCTACGTTTTCGTCCAGAGGTTTTCGTCGGAATTGTTGCAGGTAGCTAGGCAATTGTTTTCTATTCCCTTGTGAACAGGGACGTAGGCAGCATCAGAAGGCAGCGAACAAGGACGTAGGCAGTGAACAAGGACGTACGCAACACTTTCGGATAATGAAAAAGGCACCTTGAAAAAATTTCCCCCGAAATGTTCGCGACAGGCGGGGGGGGGGGTGCAAATTTTCCATATTTCATCGTTTTGGACGAAATTGTTTTTAAAAACATCGCCGTGAAATTTCGTAACTGCATGAAAAGGGCATCTTCAATATTAAATATAGTATTTACATCAACATTAGTTTGTGCAAAAAGGGCACTTTTCATCACAAAAAAGGCCACTTTGGGTCCTTTGAAATGGTTGGGGG